GAAGGGATTTTGCATAGCAGGAAAGAAGGGAAGTGTAAAGAAGATGCAACAGGCACTGTGCAGATGCCTCAGAAGTAGAAAGGGTCAGAGAGAGACCAGGACAGTAGAATTTGCTACTCCAACATTTTTTAGTACATACTCCTTTTCAAAAATCTCAGGTTTAAGCACACTCTCTCCATTTCCCTTCCTTCCACAAAACTGTCCAAGGCTGCTTCCCTTTTCCTTTCCCTTTCTATTCCATAATGTTTGTGGCTGCCCCTGACTCAGATCCCTTGTAAAGGAAAAAGGGTATTGCATACTGCCAAACAAGTTCTAGTTCACAGATTTTTTTCGGATAGCAACTTCCCTTTGGAAAGGGGAAAGTTTCCCTTTGCCAAACTTCCCTTTGGCACCTAGGTTGGTGCCATTTATGCCTAAGAAGTTTTTGCCCATATATTGCTGTGGGTATGAACACCAGGTCTGAAAAGTCTAATTGCCTGTCTTGCAATCTGAGTGCAGCACAATGCAGGGAAATAATTAACAAATCAGTCATCCAGCCAAATGCTAATATTTGCATTTGCCATTGATATACAGAGAGCAAAACTGCTGATGGAAATAGTTTTCAATTTTATTGCAGGCACAGATGATATCCTGAGAGAGGGAAAGTAGGTCTCATCCTAGCCCTAAAGTAATCACAGTTATATCTGAAGTACTGTGAAATGTTCAGGGTTTTGTCTTTGTGATTCTCATTGGAGTCACTAAGACTGTTTGCTGATGTCCCAGGCAGGGCTTAGAGAATCAAACTATGGTATCACAAGACTCAAGTTTTGTCTGCAAGATTTGGAAAGAAGCAGCTTCTCTTTGGCTACTTAATTGGCTATTTAGGTGAAGATTTAACTGACACATTACTACTGGTCTTAGCACTTATTAAATGGACACCTCAAAGTGGTAACTATGAGTAATACTTAGTCTGTCCCTATTAAGTCTCTTCCCACCCCTGCCAAATTGTCAGGAATATTATTGCATTAAAAGGGATGCATCACCAGAAGCGCAATTCTACGTGCTCTGTTGTTTTGCATCCTGTCATGTGCTGACCTCCTCCACTCCAGAACGACTCCATTTCAACTAGGTGATAGGTAAGGTATGTAAAATGTTTTCTAAGTATTTCTAACCCTAATCTAATCTGGTTTATTGCCTTTCTATGCATTTGACCCTTTTTCATTTTCTGGTGGCTGAGATATTAAGATGCAATTATTAAGATGCTCAAAAAGGTATAAATGAGCTCTCACATGTAATAAAATTAAAGCAAAAGCTTAAAAGAAATGTTGCTTTTAGCTGTCCTGAGAATTAGAAAAGAGAAGGTAGATACTGAGTGGTGAAGATACGAAATATAAAAAAGTCACATGAAGATGAAAAAGACCTACTATCTGTTGGAATATGTCACCTCTCTGCAAGTACGGTATTGTGCTCCCCTGAGGACACGGGTTAAACTGATAGTACATCACAGAACTCTTTTGCAGCCCTTCCTTAGGCAGGCAGCTCCTCTTAATGCAGTTGACTCCTAATGAACCTTTGTTGTGAGTGCACACATACTGGGACTGACGTGTTCTTCAATTAAAGATATATTTAGGTAGGTGGGAACAAGTAGAAATTTTGACAGCTATATCAGCAGTGTTATCAAAATTGAACTGCTTTGCAAAATGTCATCCATCTTGTTTTGAACTTCATTAAGTTAAGAAAGAGAACCAGTACAGAGGGAGAGCAGAGGTGTCTCTGTGGAAAGGAGAATTAAAAAAATACCGGAATGATGTATTTGGTCATCATTAAAATTGTTTCAAGTTTTCATTTTGAAATGAGGGATTTGTTTTCATTTGTAACTTGGAAAATACAGAACAAAATGTCTAAAAGTCAAAATCAAATTAATTGCTTCAGAAAAACAATCTTGATGGAACATTTCAACATCAAATTTAAAATTGTCACAGTCATTTGTGAAATTTGGACTTTCATCTTCCTCAGAGCCCTACTAAGCAAGTAGTATTTTTGGAATAAAATAATTTTGCAATCAGTAGATTAAAATGTAAACCTGGACACACACGTTTGCAACAGCACCATCATCATTTGAAAAGCAAACTTATGTTGCTGCAGGATTTGGTTCATTTAGCAAAAGAGGGAGGGAAAAAATGTCCTGAACTTGCAGATGTTTTTTTCCTGAGGAGTAATGGCTCTTATGTAAATAATCACTTTATTCTGTAAGTGCATACACTTTCATTCCACAAATTGACTTCACCTCTTCTGCCCTTTTCTCCGGTGCAAGTGTCTGCTAAATCTAGCAAGCCTCATCACTCTCTTTTTAAATATCAACGCTATAAACATCCAGGGCAGAGTTATGTAGGAATGTTGTTGTTTTAAAGTAACATCTTGAAACCTCAAAGTCAGTGTAAAATAAAAGTCTTGGTTGGATAGCACTGTGAATGACAGATGTAGCTTATCGGTAACGTGGAAGGAATATGGGTTTTCAGCAGCATCTTCTGTGGTCAGATAATGAACGAGGAAAAACAGACATATAATAAACAACAGAAGTGATGGAGTAGCCTGGTAAATAAATTCCTTTGCTGAAATACAAATATTTTCCTGTTATGTATCAACCATGCAGCATGTGGTTGTTTGCTCTAACTCTGTACGTGACAAACAACGTTTACAGTGCTGAGCAGCTTTGGCACTAAAACTCATGGTCAATGAACAGAGCAGAGGGGACACTGAGTGTCTGCTCTGCCCAGACCCCCCCACATAACTTCACAGAAATAACTGGGTGTACCCAGAAATGACACCAATAGAAGGAGGATCAGAATCTCCCCCTAAATCTCTGTCTGTTCATAAATTGTCGCAATCGATTTTCAGCAACTCTGTGTTCTGGGCTGCAGCTGATTTTTTTGCTTTCTCTCTTTTTTGCTGTCTTTCATGATACATGTGTATGCCTCATAAATATGATTTATTGTTTCTCTTTTTAAGCTGAAATGGCTGGAAGAAGGATACAGCACTCACTTCAGAGGCAAAATCAGTCGGTAACTCTTCTGAGTAGTTTGTTCTAGGCAGTTAGTGATTAGCTCTTGTTCTTGGAACTTGAAGGTATATATTTCTCAGATAAATTCCAACTGTGAGTATTGACATTAGTGCCTTTTATAATCTTCTAGCCTCTTGTTTCAGGAATATGTTATGTCAGTTAATTTCACAGGTTAATTATCTATTGTTTAACAAAATGCCAGTTTTCATTGTCTCCTCAAACTGTGTTTATTTTCATAGTATCTCCTCATGAGGTAGGCATCTATTACATAGTCTTTGTTTTCAGCTCTCAAAGTAGAATAATTTCCATATCTTCCATATGGAAATCTTCCAGTTCCTGTAAGGATTACTCCTTTTTCCTAGGTTTTCTTTTTGTTTGTTTGTTTACTCCTGCTTATGGAAATATTTTATGTGTGGCAGCTAAAGCTAAATACAGAGCTCAGTGTGAAGCCAGGTATTAATGCAAGGATTACCACTATGGATGAGTCCAGTTTTTGTTTAGCTCAGCTTTCTGACTCTAATAGATGCCACTGGTAAGTATTTCAGAGGAAGGTGCAACACAGCCCTCAGTAAGGAAATAATGAGCCTGACACAGAAGGTCTTCCACTATCAGTCTTTTAAGTTGTGCCATGAAAAACGAGAATCTGTATGGTTCCTTATTTTTATCCAATCTAAAGCAGCTGTTGGGGATTTTGTTGTAAGTATGAATATCTAATCCTTTCTGATATCCTGCTGTTCTCATAGTCTCAATGATGTCTTGTAACAATGAGTTTCACCTCAGGTTAATCAAGTACTCTAGGAAAAAATGTTTGCCTTTATCAGTTTTATATGTGTTGTCTTTTCAATTTCATTTAATGTTCAGGAACATAGCTTTATTTCCCTTTCCTACCATTTGTTATTTTCTAAGCCTCTGTAATGTCTTCCCTTATTCATCTCCTCTCTAAAGCAAACAATTCCAAATGTCTCAGTCATTTCTGCTTGATTTGTATGGTTTTACCTATTTTCGTTTCAATTTTGTACCTGTCCTAATTTTAAAAATGTACTTTGTAAAGATGAGAATTCCAGGCATAATCGTGATCTGTAGGTCGGCAATAGGCTATTACTTGTATAATTTGGATTCTTTTAAATATTTGTACATTTTTCATTTCATTTTCTCTGGTGATCCCATATATACTGGAAAGATTTCAAGGGGGTGTTCAGTGCTATGCAGGTTCTCACAGCACAAATACACCTTCACTCACCTGAGCATCCTAGAGCATTCGTCACTGTGCTTTCTTTGTTATGTTCCAAGGAAAGGGCAAATTGTGTGTTTTGAAAGCATTTTAGTGGGAATTATTTTTGCTTTTTTAAATGATCACGTACATATATTTGTCAAATACAGGTGAAAGGCAGGCATTTGGAGTGGAGTGTGGTTCACTCAGTAGTGATCTCCTTTTGAAACTAAATTGTCTGAAATGAAGCCCATGTTTCTTCCTGCAGAGAGGTTTCACTTATGGCAGTTGCTGTATTGTTTAAGCTATCAAGTAATAATCTTTTGAACAGTTGATCTGGAGAGGCCTCAGTACCAAAGTTTAGCCTCTGCATTTTAAGACACTTCTAAGTCCCTTTTTCCAGAGTACTGCCCAAACCTGAATTTATCTAGCTGTGGCTGACTGGCATCTCTGAAAATGCCGTTTGTCACAAGGTAGTGGAAAACAGATGATCTCCCAAGTCAGATGCTGCTTCTGTAACTGGTGGCTTTTCATCATTCACAGAAACCATATAAAACTTTTTCTCACATTTAAGACCTTTTTAAATGAGGGTGTAGAAAAAGCATGATGATCACTAGAAAAAGTCTAGGCTATGAGGCTATGCTTAGCTTTCGCTCCTAATAAAGCAGCATTTTTGCATGAAATTAGAGCTGAAAAATAGGAGTCCAGATTGCTAATCTTTCTTTTTTTTTTTTTTTTTTTTGTCCCCAGATCTAAACGTCCAGTGCCAGTTTCAACCACAGCACCCAGAATTGACTCTCCCAGGGCTGTAATTCCCCACCAGAAGGTATGTGACACATTTCTCCTCAGCCAAAGTTAATATTCTTATCTACCGCAGTGAAGGTAAATACCTACTAGAGTAAATAGCTTTTGCCCACCCTAAATAAGTAAACTTTGAATGAATGCACAGGCAGCAAAACTGCCACAATGCAATGTATTAGCAATTTGTGTCTTGTTAATTTCTGATTAGCGCAACCAAAGCATCCAGATATCCTCTGATGTGATCTGGTCTAACCCATTCTGAGCAGTTTGTTTTCATCTAGGCTGCAAGAGGCTACCAAAGCTTCTCAAAATATAAATTTACTTTTGTAGATTCTTGGGGAAAAACCATTAGACTGTGCCTCAGTGTATCCAAATCTTGACTGTAACTGAAAAGACACTGATTTGGAAAGAGGACATTAGGGCATTTGAAAGCTTGCATCATACTGCGTTCTTGTCACGTTATTCAAAAGACATGACAATAAAAAATAAAGAGGATAAGTCAATTTCCTGAATAACAGCAAGTGGCAGAGGAAACGGATGGCTTGGTTTCTGTTGTCAAAGCTCTTCATCTTCCATAAAATTAATGTTCATATTAGAATAAACAGCATTCATTGACTGTACCTGGCAACTCCTCATCTGTGTCTTTGGAGGAACTGAGGAGCAAGGATACCTGCAAGATGGTATATATCCTTAGGCTCAAGCACTGGGTAGGACATTTGTATCGCTGACACATTTAATTAGACAAATGGAGAGGAGCTAAAATCTCCATTGCTGCAACTTTACCCCTTTTGTGAGTGTCAGTTCCATCCCTAGCACGTAGTATAAATAAGAAACACTGAAGATCAAAATACATGGGGAATTGGGTGGTGTTTGACTGCACCAGCAAAGTAATAGGGACAGGAGCGGGGAGAGATTACTTCTTTTCCATCAAGAACTACACAGAGCACTGTTAGTTCTCAAGGCAGCAAGTAGACATGTCTCTTCCGAGTTACTCACCAACACAAGACTGACAACTATCTTTGGGGACCCTCAGTAGCACCTGTACAGGTATGACAAATTCACCTACTTCCACCACAGGCACATAAAAGCTTTTATACCTCAGATTCTCATGACTCTGTATTGGGTGCATTTCTTCCCTGGCAAGTGTCAATTTTAAAGTTACCACCATAGGTATTCATGCTGTTTACCACACAAAACATTTTTCTTAACTATCTACCCTATAGAAAAGTTAAGTCCATGCACTGTAGGTTTTTTTAAAGGTCCTGAAAGTGCCTTTGGCGTAAAAGCTATAAAGTCACTTTACATTCCCTATTTTAACCCGTTGGAGAGAGATGAGGATCAAAGGACTCAACTGTTTCTCAGGAGCATGTTGTCTCCCACTTGAGCATTCTGTGCACCAGTGCTTAGGAAAAGTTCATAGGAGCTCTTGGAGGCAGCCTGTTCTGAATGGGCTATAGGCAGTACTTGCAGCTGGAAAAGAGATTTACTGGAACCTTTCTGGAGGAAAAGGGTGGCATCCAAGAGAAGGAATGGTGGAAACAGGGTATCTAGCAATATTCAGAAAGGTCTCTTAGGTGTAGGGTGTTTGACCAGGGGGTAACAGGCAGCAGTAGAGTGCTACAGTGAGGGGCCCTTTGCAGGTCAAGAGGAGGGGCGTTTGTGTCACTACTATATGCTAGTAGACAACACTAATTTTAACTGAAGAAAAAATCTTCTCTGAGGGTGGTTTGGAAGGGAATGAAGGCATTGAACTGTTGGAGAAGTCTCAAAATCCAGAATAAAAAGTCTATACTGATACAAACAGTGCCATGGGGATGTTGCAATAAGGAATGTTACAGTAAATATACTTTAAAAAACAAGGTTTCTTTGCTTGTCCCTTTATTATTTCTAGTAACAGTATCACTGTAGAAATGAAGAACTCTGTGACACATAGGCAGAAGATATCGCCTCCACATCCCTGCTTGACAGTGCTTGATGGTTCACATGAAATGAATTTGATTGCATTTCAAAAAACAGCAAAAAACTACATTACAAGACAGTCATGACAGTGTTGTCCTCAAACATCGGGAGAAGTTTTTCTTACCTTTCCCTGAGTCAAGGTTAAGGCATGGCAATGTTAGCTAAAAAATCTGCATGTGCAAGTTCAATGTCTAGTTTAAACCATAAATTCTCTTCTACATTATTGCTGATCTGATTGCAGCTTCCACTAATTTTCCAGCATGTATTTCTTCTTTGACTGTTATGGTCATGGGTTTTTGTGTTTTAGAAAAATAAACATACATTCTTTTACAAAGATGTAAGGAAGGTATAAAAGCCCCAGAGTTCTTCACCACAATAGCAATTTTTCTACTTTCCCCAAGTAACATACATTCTCTCCTGACTCTCTTGAGCTGATAAATGTCATAGATGATACAAGTCCTGCAACCATAATGTGGCGTCAACTGAGCTGTAGGGCTGTTATTGGAAATAAAAGTTTGACTAATTTGCAGTTTCACTATTTCCGTATCTGACATTAATCTCAAACTTGAAACAATTTTCATTTAGTTTAGTCAAATCTTTTTCATTTAGTCAAAAGATTTAGTCAAGTCTTTTGCACAGGTGTGACATAGCTGGAAGAAAAGGCGTAACTAATCCTGAAAGCATTCAGATAACAAGGAGAGTAAGCTTGAGTCCAGGGATCGAAACTAAGCCATCATCAGTCAGTGAGCTCCTGCAGCTTTTCAGAGGGGCACAACACAGGTGAAGATTCAGCTCAGTGCAGTTCAAAAGGTTCAAGCTGAATCTTTAAGGCTTAAACATAGCTTTACCATTTGTCCTTTTGCATAAAGATATTAAGACAGCCTCTTTAATTTTAATAATATCACTGTGTGTGGTCCTCTTTATGAAACAGTACTGAACACACTTATTTCAGAGTCCGAGGGAGGATCTCGTAATGGTTATGGTTTGTTTCCTGCCAAATTTGGGAACCTATGTGGTTGAGAGAAAATAGATGACGAGATGATTGACTTTTTAAGTAAAGCATAGGATGGAAGAGCTGGCTGAGCCAAAAGCTGTTTGTTGGATGTCTCTGAGCAGAGTCGTTTAATGCCATGGTGCCTCCATTTCCTTCTTTCTAGAAAAAGTTTAAAGCAACAGCTGCTCCTTGGGCATGTTGAGAGGTCAAATTCATTAGTATAGCGTTAAAATTGTTCTCCCAGAAGTGCAGAAGGTGAATAAAGACTGTATGGTCATTGCAATAGATAAATAGAACGTGGGCTGTCAGAGGAAGAGGACCTGGAAAACTGGTATTGTGTCTTCCAATATAAATTTGTTTCTCACTTCTCTGATATTTAAGAAGGAGCATTTGCCTTTCATGGAAATTGAATATTTATAAAGAAAAGTATAATAATGGCAATTGAGCTGATTTATAGCTTCCTTCTATTCCCAAATGTTTGAGACTCCTATATTTATGAGTTTTAAGCTCATTCACTGAGATCACACTGGGAAATTAAAACGCAGTTTGCCCCTCATAGCAAGGGATTGCTGCAGGATTGCAGCATCTTTCTGGAGGGAAGCAGCCCATTGCTCAGTGTCAGAGCCTCCTCTTCTGGGCGGCTGAAGGGTAGCATCAGACTCGCAGAGCTGGAAATGTTTGCTTGCTTTTCCAGCCGCAGAGACCGATGAGAGAGATGAGGAACAGGGGAACATTTGTTACTGTTGGCTGCATTTCACGTGATGTAATGCTAAAAGCCATGCTGCTGCTCAGTATTAGAAATCTGACCTTCACATTCAGAAATCGTTTCAGAAATGCTGCATTGATCTGTTTCTGCCACTGAACTGGAGGAAAAAAAAATTTAAAATATCCTACTGGGAATAAACTGAATGAGAGATTCTTTGTCAATCACAAAAGCAGAGAGCTAAATAAGCTGATTATTGGGCTGTAATTCCGTAGAAGACATTATACAGCTGCTCTCTTAGACACTTCCTGTTTCATCCCTTTCCCACCAAACACAGGAAAAACAAATACCTTGAAACTACTGTGAATATTAACTCAAAATGGAGAATGCTAACCTGGCACTGCTGGGTTCCTAGGAATTCTAGTGTTGGGTTACCAGCACACTGGTACTCCAGCTATGAATTGTTTGAGGAGTGAAACCTAAACAGGAGTGAAACCATTTTGCTCATAAAGGTGAGCAAAATCATCAACCATCATTTTTTATGGCAGCCCTGTAATTTCCCCTTTGCTTACTGTTAGTGTCCAGTAACACCAAAATTATGAAAATGCATTAGAATTAAGGGAACATCTGGCATTTCTCTCATTAGCAGTTGAAACTGATACTTTATAATCAGATCTCCTTGCATGTCCTTTTATTATGGAGTTTAGAAGGGAAACCCCCAGTTAACTTAGATAAAAGCCACAAAGATTTCAGGGTAACAAACAAATACAACTCTGGCATATCCTTTTTCTTCTCTATTGCCTCTGTATTTTTTTTTTAATATTTGTTTTGTCCCTCTCTGCCAGCATGTAAACTTCATTTCCACAAGTGGTGACTGACTATGAACATGGTCTTGTGCATTTGTGCCTCTTTTACAACACATTTTTAATGAGAATCCCTGTTTTCTGTTTGTTTAATGATACTTGGAGCCCTGCAGTAGGTCACTTAAAGGTTGGTTGGTGCTGTTTTCTGTGTCAGGGTATAATGACTGAAGTATGTAATTCAAATGTATTCATTTAGAAAGGCCTCGTCTGAAAAACGCTTTAAGGATTATCTATTTCTACAGCCTCAGGCAGCTATTAATGCCAGCTAAAAGCTCTTCCTGTTTATTACTAAGAAAAATGTTCTCTGTTCATTTTATTTGCCTTATATTTTTGATTCAAAAATGTCTTAAATGTATTTAATGTTATGATTAATTATATCCTTAGACCTTCAGGGTTTTTTTTGCAATCAATTTTAATTAATCAGGCCATATTATCTTGATTTTTCAAATGTAATCTCCCTAAACTTAAATATGCAATATAGAAAAATCCAAGAGGAGAATATAAAATATTTGTCTTTCTAGTGAACGTTAGTATCAAAATCAGTAAATGACATTAATGATAACCAATACTGGCAAAAGTAGAAAATCAGAGGCCAAATTATTCTCAGACCTATGTTTCATGCAAGGCTGTGGGGGAGATATGTGTAAGATGCTAAAGATGGCAACCGAAGCAGTGCCAGCCCACATGAGGCAAAATGTCACAGGGGGCCACCACCTGCTCTTGTACTGGCCTTCATTGAGGGCAGACTGTGGGCTCCGTCCCTTCTCAGGATAATGTCCCCTGCCTGTCCCTGTCCCCCAGAGCTGGACTGCAGCGTGCTGCCAGCATTACTGGGGGCCTCTTCACTGTCAGCATTGCAGCATCTGGGTACCAGTTGTGGCTGCAGTGTATCTAGGTCCAGAGGAAGAGGTTGCAGTGATCCTTCTTCGGTAGGAAAAGCAATGTAGCCTGAGTTAGGCTGGAGCCAGGAGCTTTGAGAGAAACTACAAATTGATATTATGCCCCTAGAGAGATCAGTAAATTGCCAAGCATTCAAATAGTTTGTTGGGTACCTCTGCTATAGATTTTTTTTAATCCAAAGAACATAATTACAGACAAACAAAAGTGAAGAGTGAAACAGCTTTCGAAAGTATATAATTCATCATTTTTAAACATGTGCTAATGAGTGCCAGCACTCAGGATGCTAGGTTCAAAAGGCAAACATTAAAGACATGTTAAAAATCAGTATTAGAATCTTGCTATTCATGTTCCAGTCACTGAGCTTTTAGAAGTTAAAGAATGAGAAAACTGAGAGTAAAATTATAAAATGCCCACCTGAAAGTGAAGTTTGTATTCCTCTCTCATAAAATTGTCCATACTGCAGGTAGGCAGACTTCAAAAAAGTATAGACCTGTGGTCACTATACACTGCCAGTAGCTGGAAGGAAATGAGGCATTTTAACCCTAAGGGTGCTCTGTGCTTCCCACGAAGTGCTGAGTCCCCTCCAGTCCTAGGGATTTAAGTGGTGTTGCATCAGAATGAGCTTGAAGCAGTGACAGGCTGTTTTAGGCAACATGAGCACAGAAGTTTTACATGGAACTTCCTCAGAACTCATGTGACAACTTATTTCCAGCATTGTGTTGCTGAAAAAGCAGTATTTTTCTTTTTTTTATATTACCTTTTATTTTGGCTTCACTAAGCTGCATTAATAGCAAATCATTTCTGAAACTGAAGCACAGTACTGCATTTTTCCAGGATGAGGTTTTGGTGGAATATTTCTAATCTGAGCACCAGCAGAGACCTCTATGGGTATAGCTGTTGTGGAGAGATTCCTCTGACACTGACTAAGACAATACATCCTGCTGTCCTAGTTAGGAATATTATCTGGGACATGACTGTAAGATCATACACTCATCGTCTACATACTCAGGCACACATTCCTTCCAGTGGAAATGATGCAGAAATGATGAGAATAGAGGCAGTCGAGCAGTACCCGTTCTTGAGTCCTGTTGGTGCATCTGCTAACCATGCTGCATGGCCTCATTAGCATGAACCAGAGCCTATGAAAGCAATGCAATGTGTGGGCTTCAATAACTTGAAGTGTACTTGTGGAAAATAGAATGGTGCGGTATAGAATCATTATGTTTTTATAATAATGTTATTGACTTTTATGTTTGTATTTTATCTCAAATGATTCTGACCTCAAGACATATTTTTAAGATTTCTTAATTATCCTAGAAATTAATGGACACTTTCATCTTTATATAGAATTATTGCTAATAATAAGAGCAAATGCTCTTTTAATGTTAAGCTTCATTTGTTGATGTCAACTAAAACTCAGTAAAAAAATGCTTGAGTATGTTTTGCTTCCCTTATTTTGAAACAATGCATTTCTTTGAAAATCTTCCCTGAAAGGTTGGATGCTTTGGGCCCAATCTATTTATTGCAAGTTTATCGATATGTTTAGAAAGCAGTAATTGCAGATATGTTATTTTTGCATGTGTTCTATGATTGCTCTTTTCTTTTTTTTTTTCTTTTCTTGGCCTGCATGTTCGCTACTACAGGAACCTGCTTGGGAAATCAATGGCAACAGAACAACCTTCAGTCCTCTAACTAACACAGCGACTGGGCCCATGGGTAGTATTTTAGCAGCCAATGGAACGTTTTCAGGCTACCTCAACAAGCAAGAGATCAGCTTTTCAAATAGCACTTCCTACTTAAAGACTACCACAGTTAGATCTTCCATGTCCTCTCAGTCTGTGACTCCTGATATTTCGCCTGCAAAGAGTAATCTAGGTTCAAAACTAAGCCCTGTATTGACTGATGGCAATAGTCCTTTACACCAGCTGAGCCCTGCAAGGCAGTATAACAACCCTATTGGCCTTTACTCAGCAGAGACTCTAAGGGAAATGGCTGAGATGCATAAATTAAGTCTCAACCGAAGGGCTTCGGAAGGTGGACTTCCTAGAGGGTAGGTACCATGATAAAATATTTAATATTTCAATATGTAATGAATTTGTTGAAAAATGAATGTAATAGTACCTACCCTATTGTGCATTTGTCTAGTAATCATGATTAAGGTCTGGAATAATCATTAAGTTTTCCAGTACCCCCAAAACGTACACACCATGCCATTACAGAATAACTCTTGGTCTTTGGTATCTGAATTGCAATATGGATTGGCAATAGTCACCAGAGCATGAGGAGGAACAGTATGACTGAAGTGACTGCGATCACCTCGGGGTTCTGGCATTTAGCCATTTAAACCAATGCGTGTAGTCTCATAGAACCAGGGATCCCTGCCGGCCATTATAGAAGCGGCTATAAAACAGAGCTGATCTGTGGTACTTTCCTAAAGACAAATTGCTTTGGCCAGCAAATCTGACATGCTAGTCTACTGGAGCGTCCTGCTGCAATTCCTGCCTTAATGTATTGGCTTTCCTGTGCAAAATAAGTCAAAACTGCAATATTTTGAATCCTCTGGTTTGAACATTGTCTATCTCACATCTGTTAGCTCTGCTCTTAACTTGTATAGAACAAGGAATGATCTCTAGATACTACCCAGATGGTTTGATCCCATGCTGTCAAAGTTTTCACTGTTATTGTATCGCAGATCAACTGTTTGTAGGTTTGTGAAGGGAGGAGCTTGCACTACAATACATGAGAAAAAGCAATGAGAAACGGGTTTTTATAAATTTTCTGCCTTCGTGTTGTAATTTGCAAACAAATCTCTAATTTATTTATTTGTGTTTATTTAAAATGAAGATAAATGTCTTATTATGAATATGGGAAAAAGTGTACTTTTGAGACTAGGGACCTGGCTGTATGAGGAAAAACGGAAAATTCAGACAATCCACTCAAGGTCTGATAGCAAGTGCATATTTTCAAGTACTTTATATCCCATTGCAGAAGCTCTTTGCAAGAGTAAAACCAAGGGGGTTAAGTTGTAGCAAAGTAAGGATATTTTATCCTTATAAAAGAGCATATATACGTGTTCTAGATGATTCAAGCAGTTTAGATGATTCATTATAACTCTCTTGAGTGCTCAGCATTAACGATCCTAATTAACTTATCTGAAAAAATCCTATCCTCCTTTCTCATACTGGATAATTAAGGCAGGCAATTAGTGTTTAAAATAAAATAGTTTCAGTTAGTAAGCAACATCAGCAAAATAAACCTCAGAATGCTTCTCTCTTAATTTACAGTTTTCTTGAGGAAAACTAATCCTTGTCTGATTTCAATGTGCAGAGTTTCCTGGGATATCTCACTATCCTTCTCCCACTGTCTTCAGAACCCTCCTTAACATCTGCAAGGGTGAGGCTGAAGGGGCTGTATTTTGGATGGCTCAGCATTCTGGCTAGTTCTTTGTTAGCAAAATTACAAGACAGCTGCACCCATCACTCACTGAAGTCAATGTAAAGCACTCTGTTGATTCCAGAGGGCGTTGTGATATGACTACATAATACAACAGTGATGGGGTGCAGAAAAGGTGTACCTGCAGAAAACACCTCACTGCCTTCACTCTGCTGCTTTGCCATGTTTTATGTCTCCTTTATATGTACACGTTAGCGCACGCCTATGGCAGTGCACTGAATTGCAAAGCAAGGTTCTACCTTAGAATAACCATCTGAGATTTTTTTTTCTTTTTAGTTTGAAGAAAATTTTAGGGAATTGCCATCTATCTACCTGTAATATCTGTAGCACTGATGAACAAATAAGAAAATATAAGAGAAATCATCTAAATGTTAAAAAAATTCAGCCTTTATCCAGGAGCCCAGGAACAATCTGAAAAGATGAAAGAGCCCAAAGCTACTAAGTCCATGTGTCTTTTCAGGTAGATTCAGAGATTTAGTGAATTGTACATCTCTGCTTACATGCAGAGAAAATTCGGAGTTCAGTAATCCTGTCGTTCCCACTCCTGCTTGAGTGTTACTATGAAGTGAGAGGCATCTTTCCTACTGCTCTGAGGAGACTAACATGGAGCCTGTACCTGCCTTGGGACTTGGTGTCATCCATGATAATCTCAGTCTCATTGTGGATATATACGTGAAGAGTGCAGAAGGAAAGCACTGTGAGCTCTGCAAAATCAGCTCTGGACTTTGTTGTGGACATTCTTATCATAAAGTACATCATGAGACACTGCGGAAAGATTGTGAAATTATGGTGCTCCAAAACCATGCATTTATTATGCATTCATGAACATGTACTTAGCAGTATGGTAAAAGCTCTAAGAAAATTCAGGTTTGGGGGTTGATTTTAAGGTACATTTCATATTTCAATTTGGTGTCCTTTTCACCAAATTGTTTATACATAATTGTGTGAATTGCTGTTAGAGGTTTAGCTAAACCCTTTGGAAAATCCTATCAGAAAGCTAAAATTAATTTTGAGATTATGTCCTTGATCTGTGAAGAATAACAAAGCATCTGTTTCTCTGATACCCTTTTACATTAAAGCTTTATCACCCTCGCCCAGGGTGAAAATAGAGGTGGCCTGTTAAGAGTGTGGAACTTGATGTGCTGAAAGCTCTGGAAAGGGGAGTATTAATAAATATGAAGAGTGAGTCATAGCTTGTAACATGTGGTTCTTTTTCATTCCAGAGTAAGTTATTTTTCACATTGTAGGTCAAGGGCAGTAAATACCTGTCCCACAAGTACGTGCCAGGTGGCTTGGGTTACGAGCTTCTTACTGTGTGACCTCTGTGAGCCGCAAGTTGGGTGTTTCATACATGTCCGTATTTAGACTCAAGCTAAAGTAATGCGTGGCTCTGAATGGGAGAGAATTTTCTCATCACATACTAACATACTAAACATAAGGAGAAATAAACCTTTACTCTTTTTGAGGGAAGCTATAGTAGCCTCTTCACATGCAAAAAATCTTTACTGCGACACGGCTGTTGTTCTTAGTGTGTGCACATAATGACTTTTATCTTTGAACATATTTTTATAGGCAAACAAGTGGTTCCTCTAATTAAGGTGTATTTTAGGGACAGTAGTTCTGCCTTTAAAATATTATTTTATGTTCAAGGCAGAGGTCTGGATTAGAAGATTAAAGCAGGCATCTGAGTGCACTTCAGAAAATGATACTATTACACTACGTTTCGTTGTAAATGAGTGCCCAGCTGTCCTGCACATACCTAAAATGGACATAGGATCACTGATGAGCTTACAGGCTACATACAGCTTGTTCCTAATATATCTCTACTGGTTCCTGTAACAGACTGATATATTTGGCTTAATGTAGGGGTTTTAAAGTTAACAGAATATTCTCGAATCCAAGAGTCTGAAGAACAGTGACTGCAGAAGGTGATCTGTGATTGCTTTTCCATGGAAATGCAGAAGTGCAAAGCCTGTACCACAGCTTTGGCTCATTCGAGTGGTTTTGATCATGAAAAAGGCACCTGGGTGAGCCAATGAAAAAGGACTGTATGTAAAAAGAAGCTGTAATATCAAAGGTTCCGCGAGGTAAAAGCAGAAGGAGACAAATCCACTTTGAATGTCACTCTAACAGTGTAACATTGCTGTCCAGTATTTGTATCAGTCCCAGACCCAGACATGTTAGAGCAGCAAGTTGGAAGTTTCAGTGCCCAGTTCTTGTCAACAGCATTCTGTGCAGCTAAATAAGAAGAAACGTTTACTAACTGATCCTGGACTCTCTTGCTTTTTATTTTGCGCAAAATACAATGAATTGCTCTTCATCCAAGAATATAAAAGCAAAATATAGGTATTCTAAGCTTTGAAAAGACTAAGTTAAAATAAATGTCATAGCCCATTAATGCTATTTGTGCAACCAATAGAAAGAGTTATGAGCAAATAATGTAATATTACACTCTGAGCACGCTCTCTCTTCATGGCTCCCAGCTCTGGCCTGCACAAAGCCTATGCTGAGTTTTGTATTGTGTCTCTTTGGAATTGCTGTGCAAGCCACTGTCACTTCTTGTTTATGCAGTGAAGCAGGATGTAGCATGAACATATGTTTTTTCATATGTGTACATACCTGATGGAATAAAATATCCTGACATGACTATCGAAAAAAACCACATAATGCATGGACTTGCTTCATTTCACACAGAATAAATTAGGAATGACTATTCTGAAATTAATTGGCTTACACCAATTGGCACAACATAGGTACAGTCAGATTTAGGCAAATAGTTTGTTAAATACAAAGGCATTTTCCTTAGTTTTAGATTTAAAACATCTACCAATATATTCTTTGAATATTCTCCAGCATGTAAAAGACCAAAAAATCAATCTTGCAATGACAACTCTGAGGGCGGCCTGAGGAGAACAGACTTCATCCCTGAATGTTTAGTATCTGAGGGAAGAATATAATCTCTACCACTCGTTTGCTATTTTCAGATGAGAATAGACTCTGCAAATGCTTCTTTCTTCCCTCCGCTCCCTCCCCCCATACACTTTGATAATAGTACTTTTAGGGATGCACAGCAATAAAATCATGCTCAAGGGTCAGCCAAAATGCCATGGTACCCTAGTAAGTCCTAGTGGATCAACTATAATCCCTACGTTTTTTCCTTTCTTAATCACGTTGGGGTTTTCAGGCATACATTTACTTTGTGTTCTTATTTGTAGATGGTCTGAAAAAAGCTTTAGTGAGCTTTTGTAAATACCTTTTGCCCTTTGCACTCTGAAAACTATTGACTTTTTCTGTTCAGTTGGTTTTGATGTTATTTGTTCTCTTTCTCTTCTTTTAGGTCATAACCAACACCGCTGCCAAGTTAGTATCACTTCTATGTAGTGCCAAGTATTTGTGTTACGCTGTATGTGTGAAGATTTGCTTTCTGGAGTAGCATGATCCCTTGTGTTCCTGCTGTGTCTGCCTGCAAGTGGAAGTATTTTTTAAAAAATGTTACTGGTATGGCAAGCGTCATGGGCTGCTACTGGTGTCCAGTGGTGCTGCTCCCACCACATGTTCAGCATTTCTTGGTGATGTTCTAATGCTGCAAATGGAGTT